AGCAGGCTATCCAGTCGCAGAAAAGCTGGCTTCTGGACACAAGCCCCTCCATCCATTTAAGAAAGAGCCATTGTCACAGTTCACAGACACATTCCTGTCTAGCAAAAAAAAGGCCCAGGGTAGAGCCAGTGGGGTGTGTTCCCTCAGCACAGTCCTGAGGACCACATTTGGCCGCTGAGGTTCATTACCTCTGTCTTTCACTGTCCCATATCACATTGCAGAGTTAAGGCTACTATTCTAAACTTCAAGGGCAAGGCCTTGTTCAGCTTCTCATTTCCTATTGTGATTGTTGTAGCCTTATGACTTAACCCAGCATACACAACAGGCATGGGGGACCTTTCGCTGTCCAGAAAATGCTGGACTACAACTCTAATCATCCCTGGCTGTTGGCCATTCTGACTGGATTTGATGGGTGTTTCTGTCCAACAACACCAGGAGGGCCACGGGATTCCCTACCACTGATGTACAGCCTGATTCCATAAATACCTACTCAGAAGCAAACCCCATTTAGCTGAGAGTAAGCCACAGAGCGCTAAGCGCGAATTCATTTTCTCAGCCATAACGGCTATCCTGCCCGCCCTTGAAGGCATATTGTATTTGCTTCTTCATGGTCAACAACCTCAACCAAATAATATTTTTTTTAAGACGTGCTGCTCACAAAGTCCTGTGGCTTGATTTACTGCCACGTAACCACCTTGCTCAGTAAAGTATGGATACCAAACCACTAAACTATGAGTCCAGAGCAGCATACTTTAAATCTTGGGTGATGGCAGATAACTAAGATCCGACAACACTGTGTACAAAGAAGGGAGGAACCGCCAAATTTATGGCACAGTCTTTCAGTTTGTGTATCCCACCACTGGATTTATTGGTCAAAGTGTAGTTGCTTGGGTATTACTGAAACTAATAATACTTTCCCAGAAGAGATTGACAAGTCATGGAAGGCTTTGACAAAGCCCCCTTGTTTATGAGTAGTTCCTCTGTTGAATATTCTCATAATCACTATTGTCTCTGGAGATGTTTGGGAATATGAAGTGGTGGATGTTGTGAAGATATAGTAATTTGAATATATATATTTAAGTGTGTAATAGACTGTTCACAAAAAAGAGGACGGCCCATCATGGGCCCATCACTCAAACTATGGTGAATAAATGAGGTGGGGCAGATTCTGTTTGGATGGAGAATCAAGCCCCAGTTGTGTGAATTGACCAAGGTTTTCATGTGAAACTTATCTGTTTTCTTTTAACAAGTTATAGCAGGCATGGAAACATGAAACTGTAGAGTTAGAAGGGACCCTGAGGATCATCTAGTCCAAGCCACTGCAATGCAGTAATATGCAGCTGTCCCATATGGGGATCAAACCTGAAACCTTGACATTACTACTACCCTTCTCTAACCAATTGGGCTATCCAGGCATGGCTAAATATTTCCAGCCTTTCATGCCATACCCAGTGGTTTTACCTTACAAAGAGATAATTTCAAGGTGAAAATTAGCTTATTTATTTAGAAGTAAATTTCACCAAGCTGGGTGCAATTTTGCTCAGTGGTAAGTGTGCTTAGTGCAGCCTAGAGAGAACTTTCCAACTGTAAAAGCACTTTCTGCCCCAAGCTATCAAGGGACTTTTGAGTCAACAACTGATGAGTTGAGTTGGCATCTGTCTGTATTGGGGGACAATGGCAACTTGAATGTTTTAGTTATGGGAAGTCAAGGTATTCTTTTTAACTCAACTTTTCAACTCAGCTCTTCAAATTGACACTTATTCTTCTCATCTGGAAAAAAAACATTTTGTGGGCAGTTCAGAGCAGGCATTACCAACCTGGTGTCCATAGATGCATATATTTGCTACAAAGGCCTTCTCCCTTCCCCTTGCAAAAATCATGCTTAAAAGAAGCATTCTACTGCAGCTAGTAGAATAGGTTGTGGTATGTGCTTGGTTGTTATGTGTATGTGACACAACAGTTTTTCTGCTTTACAAATTTGCCTGTGGGCCCCAAAAGATTGACAACCCCCGGCTTACTCTCAAAAAAAGGAAAAAGGTTCAATGTTTTGTGGTGTTGGCGGGGTTGGAAAGGGTTCTATGCTCTCATGGTGAGGGAACCCAAAGGAGAATGGGATTCCCATGCAGGAGTGCTAAACAGGGCATTTCAGCAGATGCAGTTTGTCATCTAGGGTTTAGAAAATCTGCTGCCATTAGGGCAACCATCTGGGAAAAAGAGGATTTCTGTTCTTTCAGTGGTTGCACAGAATATGCAGCTTTTCCTCAAGAATCGTCCACAGAGTTTGACATACATCAAGGGGCAGACTGAGTTAACAAAATCATGACAAGGTAGAAATGTGGGCACTGGTTGGAATGGGGCACAGTGTGACCTGGTGTGTGTGTGTGTGTGTGTGTGTGTGTGTATTAGGGGTCACAAGGGTATTTAACAATACGATGTTATGCACGCATACTCGGAAATAAGACCCACCACTGCCCCATTAATCAGAATTACTCCTAAATAAGGGTGCAGGCAAAAGAATGTGACATACTTTATGAAGCGTTGCTAAACCTGGCACCAGGAGGGAAAACTCTTGCTCGTGACAGGATGTGCCTACCTACATCTCATATTCTGCATAATGCTTGTGACAGGAGCCTTCTCTCTCTTTCACAACTGATCACCCTGCAGTACCATCACCAGGCCTTGCAGGATGCACCTGTGTGGACATGGGAAGTCACTGAGGAGATGCAAAGGAGCTTCTGGGCAATACTGAGTGAGTGGAGAACCTGCCAGTCTTGATAACTGCCACACAGCTGTTAAAAGTACAGGACCCTCTGTTTGGGTGCCATATTGGTATTCCTGCCCCCCTGCATTTTTAAATGAAAGGGACCTTCTGGAACAATATACATAGAAAGCTTCCTTTTACAGAGTCCATCTAGTTCAGTCTTGTCTTCACGGGCTGGGAGTGACTCTCCAGGGTTTCAGATAGGGGAGATGCCAGGGATCGAACCTATAGGACCTTCTGCATACAAAGCAGGTGTTCTACCCCTTTGTTGTTGTCGTTTAGTTGTGTCCGACTCTTTGTGACCCCATGGACCAGAGCACCCCAGGCACTGTCTCCCGCAGTTTGGTCAGACTCATGCTGGTAGCTTCGAGAACACTGTCCAACCATCTTGTCCTCTGTCGTCCCCTTCTCCTTGTGCCCTCCATCTTTCCCAACGTCAGGGTCTTTTCCAGGGAGTCTTCCCTTCTCATGAGGTGGCCAAAGTATTGGAGCCTCAGCTTCAGGATCTGTCCTTCCAGTGGGCACTCAGGGCTGATTTCCTTAAGAATGGAAAGGTTTGATCTTCTTGCAGTCCATGGGACTCTCAAGAGTCTCCTCCAGCACCATAATTCAAAAGCATCAATTCTTCGGCGATCAGCCTTCTTTATGGTCCAGCTCTCACTTCCATACATCACTACTGGGAAAACCACGGCTTTAACTATATGGACCTTAGCTGGCAAGGTGATGTCTCTGCTTTTTAAGATGCTGTCCAGGTTTGTCATTGCTTTTCTCCCAAGAGGCAGGCGTCTTTTAATTTCGTGACTGCTGTCACCATCTGCAGTGATCGTGGAGCCCAAGAAAGTAAAATCTCTACCCCTTAGCTAGAGCTCTTCCCAAAATCCAGCTCTGCGCATGCTTGCAGATTTTCAAAAACCTGTTGCCACTTGTCCAGCGCACCCGTATCTGGGAATACCAAATTCCACTGAGTCCAGCAGCATTTATGCTAATGCAACCCTGCATAAGAAAAACACGCTATAAGTCTTTGGAAAGTGTGCTGGAAAAGATTAATAAATAAGATTTGCATGGGCCAGCGTCGGAGGGCTGAGTGCTTGCGCGGGTTCTAGTTCTTAGGACAGGTGGCCAATGTAGCCAAAGGAAATTTCTTCCTGAACCCGGTTGTCTCTGCTCCTCGTCCCGCCTAGGCGCCGTCTCGCTCGACTCTGGCCAGCGCTGGGTCGGTCGCGCACGAGCCGCTCATTGAGGAATTCCTCCCGCGGAGAGGGCGGGAAACCCACAGAGAAAAGGGCGGGAGAGTTCGGGGGAGAGTGCGCGCGCACACACGCGCGCACGCATTAAAGTAGATAGGAAAGGGCTGGCTATACAGTAGCAGCTGCTGATGTTCCCACTGATATCGCCTCAGCCCGTCTCCCTCCCGCGCGCGCCTTTGGCAGAGGCGCCGCCGCCTGGCAAGGAGGGAGCCTCGCGCGCGTGCCGCCGCCTCCTCCTCCTCCTGACAGTCCCGAGGAAGCAGCCTCGCCTCAGAGGCAGCGGCGGAGGGAGGGAGGGAGAGAGAGCGAGTGAGAGGCAGCGCCCCAGGCTGAGAGAACCACCCGCCGGGGGGCACAGTTGTTTAACCCTCAGAGCTTCCGCGACATAAAGACTCCTGTCTGGGGCGTAATATTTTTTTAAAGAGGAGGCGGAAATGGCGCTGCCCCGAGGGTGGGAAATGGACCCATTTTCTTGAAGAGCGTTCTTGAGGCGCACGTTTCTGGGCCTCAGCTCGGCTTCCTGAGGAGACGAAAGCGGCAGCTCGTCTCCCCGCCTTCCCCCCCCTCTCGTTCCTCTCCAAAACTTCTGTCATTGGCCCCTGGGGAGGTTAATCTCCCCGCCGCCGCCACCCCCAACCCAAAGAGCAGGCAAGCCGTTTTGCTGGGCGAAAGAGTCCCCTTTCCCTGCAGTTCTGAGGGGACGACCTCCCTCGTGCGAGAGAGAGCGAGCCTCCGGGTTTTCCATTCGCGGGGCTTCCTCCTCCCGCTGAAAGCGTGCGGCTCTCCCTTCGGGCTCGAGGAGGCAGCTCGGCGGCTGCGCCGGTTGCGACTGCAGATTCCTCCACGGGGTGGTCACGTTAGACGGCGAGAGAAGGAAGGGCTGAGGGCCAGCAGCTCTAGCTGGCCGCCCTCCCGCGAGGAGAAAGCGCGCCGGGAAAACTTTGGAGCAGCGCGCGCACCTCGCCCCCCCCCCCCCCAGCGAACTTGCCGAGATGAACCAGACGGCCGGAGTCTCCAACAGCGTCCGCTGCCCCAGCGGCAAAGGAGCCAAGGTAGGGGCAGCGTTGCCTGGGGAAAGTTGTGGTGCAAAGGCGAGCGAGCGAGCGGGCGAGGAGAGGGAGAGAGGAAGGAAGGAGGGCCGGCACCCGCCGCGTAATGGTCTTCTTGGCTGCTGCTGCCGCCTTCTTTGCGGGACGGCGCAGGGCTTCTACGCCGCCGCCCTGCTGTTTTGCCTGCAGTTTGGGCTCGCCTTTGCCAGAATGTGTTCAGGTGCCGCGCAGGTCGGGGGGAAACGCCTGTAGCTGTAGCGCGTAAAACAGCAGTGTGTGGGGGGGTGTCTGTGGGTGTTGCTTAGAAGCGATTCCTCGTGGAGAGTTTGGAAGAGAAGACTGGGCAACCCCAAGATCAGTAGGCGACCCGAATTCGGAAGTGTCTGAGGGTGTTTTTGTTGCTACGGGTGGGGTTCCTTGCCTTTTATGACTGGACACCCCTCTCCCCCCCCTCCACTTTGTGCTGAGCACGCTCGCCTTCCACCAATCTGCTTGCGATCATTTGCTAAACCAGCCGACCTAAGGGGGGAACCTTGAAATCGATACATCGCCTACATGAGAACACATGTAATAGCGGAGGCTCACAGAAAACGTCCCTTGGGGTTTTCTGCTTGAGTGTGAGCAGAAGACGGTCCAAGATGTGCAAGCGCCTTATCTGTGCAATTAGATGTGTGCTTCATCTTGCAATCGGGGCTTTGTTGCACGGCACGATTGCAAGCACCCGTTTCTGATTCCCTAGTTAACTTCTGGAAGTTCAGCGTCCTGGTTTGCAATGGAGCGCTCTCTGCGTTCGTGCACATATACTACATCATGTAATGAATTGTTGTCAAGCTTCATCTAGCCTTCTCATCGTCCAAGTCCCATGACTGGACAGAATCCGTATTCACACTCTGTTAGTTCTGCTCCTCGGAGTGTAATCCTCTGCACTTTTACTCTGCTGTAAATCTCAGAGGTCAGCGGAATCTTTAGCCCTGTTAAGGAGGGAAGAACTGCATTGTATTAATTTACACCTTTTAAAATCTTGGGCTGGGGGCATTAATGCTTCCAGGCTTGCAAGGCAGTGTAAGCAAAGCTATTCCTGTCTAACTCAAAAGTTATTGTTGCACTTCCTGCTCAAGCAAGAAGTGGGGTTAAAGTTTGAATCCCAAAGCCACATTTCCCTACCTGAAGGCATGCCATACTGCAGTTAACGCTTAGGCTGCAGCCCTAACCCCATTTACCTAAGAACAAGCCCTATTGAATTCTGTAGTATTTACTTCTGAGTAGGTGCAACTAGGATTGTCGTGTTATTTTTGAGCCCCGCCATCCATTTTTGAAAGCCAAGGCCTAACCCTGGAATAAATGATGAACATATGAAAGTGTACATCTCCCTTGTCACTGAAGCAACTGAGAGCTCCCATAAACTGGGATTAGGGAAGGTGCTTCCAAACTGAAGGTGATACTGGCATCTGTTTTTCTGTATGTATTAAGCACTGTGTATAATTTAGTTCTCAGCCAAAGATGATAGTGCTGGCCAATAGTTTTGCACCTGTGTGCCCCTCCAAATATGCACATGCAACCCACTGCTGTTGAGAGGATGCACACAGCCTTCAAAAAAAAACAAAAAAAAAAACCCTCAACAAGGTAGCCTTGGTGGTCACCTTTTAAAAGTTAGACTTTGCTGCTGGTCTAACGTTAATTGCATTTTGGATGTTTGCTTTAAATGTTATTGTTATGCTAACTGTAAGGCAGGTTGAGAGAAGTCTGCTTTGAAAAGTGGCATATAAAATAAAATAGGCAAACAGAAATGCAAAGATGATACAAGCAGAACCTCACTACAAGGGGCAGGTCTGTGGCTTCTAAAGCAGCCTTCCCCAGCCTGGTGTCCGCCAGAGGTTTTGGACTACAACTCCCATCAGCCATCAGCTGGGGCTGATGGGAATTGTAGTCCAAAACTTCTGGAAAGCACGAGGTTGGGGAAGGCTATTCTAAAGCATTTAATAACTGTATATAAAAAGAAAGCTAAAGAAAGACTGAAATGGTGCAGTTAAATTACCTGCCACCATTCTTATCACAGGTCATACATACAATATGGATATATTTATCCAAAATAAGAAATAGGAGCTGAATGCTATTCACATTAGCACACCACAAGACAGGTGCATTTGTTGCGCGATCTGGGGAAACGAACTGCAATTTCACTGGTACACAACATTTGCCTTGGAATGCTGAAAAAATGGAACACAACATGCTCCTTTTTGTTGATATTCCTGGCTAGCTACCAGACAGTTCTTGGATGTGTAAGACATTTCACCATCTTTAGGTTAGATCTGAGCACCTGAAGAGAGGTTTATGAGGCTTGAAAGCTTGCAACTCTTGAATAATTTTGATGGTCAAAGGAGAGAAAGCATTATGTGCCTCTCATTTTGTGAGCCCAGAACACTATTCTGATACTCCCCCCCATCCCAGAAAAAGGACCAAAGGCAGGTTCTGCTCAGTAAGTCATACTCATAGCTAGCACATGCACACACATAACACACTTTTGATATTTCTTCATTGCTCTGTGGAAAAACATTTAGTTACAGTTACACTGTAACATTTATTACTTCAAGTGTGGTCCCATTGCTTATTTTTAAACTTCCTACAAATAGAAACTAGATGTTGGGAAGAAATCCTGTGTAACTTTCTTGAAGAAGCTCGTTTTGGTACATAGGGGAGCATTACAAGTTTTGCAGTCTAGGAAAGCAGTTGTCATGCAGTTGACAGTTTGGCTTTTTTGATGATCATGGTATGTTTAAATATGCAAATACACAAACTTAAATAATAATTTGATCAGTAACTCTTGATGTGAGTAAAACTCATGAACTCCCTTTCCCCGTTTACCCCTCAGTTTTTTTCCAAGACAAAAACAGAACTATTAAAATAGTTAGGTTTGCAATACTTAGCAAACCTAAACTTAACTCTGTTAAGTAAATATATTATGCATAGCTTGGTGCATAAAATGGTACTGTTTGGTATGTTTATGAAATTTATAAAGACAGGTTCCTTCAGAAGGCAAAAATATGAATTACAGATGCATACTTATTTCATTTCATATAATTTATACACTGCTTGATTGTAAAAAACAAAACAAAACCCTCAGAGTGGTTTACAAACAGAATAAAACAACAGTGATGTAATATATAACTGGTGTTAGAGATGAAGCTGTTTTGTGTGTGTTTTCCACCAGCATCAAACTTCATGTTGTGTGAAAATTGGGGTTGGCTTACTGAAGTAGCTAGCAACTCTACTAGTGTAGAGCACTGAAACCTTTCTGCCTTTCCCAGCCCACTCCTGCCTTATTTCCCCCCATCTGTGTGATTTAATTCTTTTGCAGAAATAACATAGGCAAAACCTTGCTTTCCATTCACTGGGAAGCTGCAGCAGCTAAGCACTATGCCACATACTTTTTTTGTGTTTGTACAAGTCCCCAGGGCCAGTTTCTAATGTCATAGATGGCTGGGGCAGGGATGACCACTGTCTGGGACCTTAAGATGAATAAGAGTCTGTTTATAATAATAACAACAGTGAGAACACAGTGAAGCATCCCAATTTGCTATGCAGTGTAGCAACTTAAAGTTCAATGAAAGACTGTTTGTGGAGAGTCATAGTAGTCGTGGCTTAAATGTCAGCATTCCAATTGAATTTGTTAAGTGAACGATTAAATCCCTACAACAGCTGCTTCTACAAACGCCCTAGCTAGTTACAATTTCTATTGAAAAAGTGGTTTACTTCCTCCCCCTTTCATAATTTAAGATGTTTAATTAAAGACAAAAGCTTTCTGTATGACTGAATTTGCTGCAAAGAAGCCTGTCAAAGTTTAGAAATAATACCATGCAACAAAGGACTGAAAACAAAAAGAGATGATCCAGAATGAGTAAGAGAATGAATAGATATCATTGTTGGGTGGTTCTGCACCACAGAACAGAAAACAGCTATTTTCCAACCAGCCCACACTGCTTTCATAATGGATTGAGCACATCTGTACACCTACTGTCCTTATTCTCCATTTGTTCTAACCTATCACTGGAATCTCAAGTAGCTTCTTGGCTAGAAGTGTTAATATCCAGCTTAGACTAGTTCTGCCCTTGAAGACTGTCCAGAGGCTGTAGCTTGTGCAGAATGCAGATGCTGGGTTGGTGAATGGAGGCAACATGAGAGGATCATGCATCACTGGTCCTGAATGCACTGCCCTGGCTGCTAGTGAACCCAATTCAAGGTGTTAGCACTAGCACATAAAGTCCTAAATGACTTGGGACTCAAATACCTACAAATGTCTTCCCCAGTATCAGACATCTTGGACTCTATGGTTTGTAAGTAAGGCCTTGATGGTGGTGTCACCATTGGGCCTTCCCAGTTGGCATTGACCCCATGACAGAAGCTTTTAAGTGTTGATTCCCTATTTGTGCAATGATCTCCCTAGTGAGGTGCATCTATCTCTATCCATATTAACTCTCAGGAAGAATCTGAACACATTCTAGTTTGCCCGGGCAATTGGTGGCTAAAGAATATTGTTTATAGTTATAACTGCTTTTAGAATATTTTTAATTAACTGTTCTTAGAATGTTTTTTCCCCCTTAAGAAAAAAAAATGAGGATGAGTTTGCTATCCTGGACACCTTCAGGAGGAAAGTCAGGATATAAATTCAACAATTAAAATACTAAAATTCCCATCCCACCAAATGGATCCATCATAGGAACCCTTGGATGTGAATAATAATAAAATTGGGATCAAAGCATACATACTAGAACAACAACACAACAAAGCAGCAAGGCTATGCCATGAGAAAAGTGCCAAGGCAAGGGATGATGATGATAATTATAATTTTATTATTTATATCCTGCCCATCTGGCTGGACCTCCCCAGCCACTCTGGGCGGTTGGGATATCAGTGTCACTGCAGCCCCTATTTGAAAAGCTGCAGGCAACTCTTTTATTTTTTAAGTATCAGCTCTCTTTAGTTATTGGCATGCACTGCAGTATATCACCCATGCTTTTTTATATTAACTGCAAGCACAACCATAATACTTGTAGAGTATTACTTGTAGAGTCTACAAACATACTTGTAGAGTCTACAAACATACTTGTAGAGGCTACAGTCAATGACAGACAGACAGCCAACTAATTCTAGTTTTGTCTCCATTCCCCTCCCTGCTGTTCTACAAGGGGCAACACCAAGACCATGGAGGAGGATGCTGATGGCCAGTGCCACCTCCTAGACTAAGGCAGTAGACA